GGTGAAGCTGAGGATAAGAGAAGGAGCATGCCTTGGGAGACACTAGAGCTGTGTGGGGGGTGACCCTTTTAAATGGTGCCCCCCTCACTTTCAGAAGGCACCCGTGATCACTGGCAGAAGCTCTTAACCCCACCACTCTGCTGCAGGGCACAAGCCCCCAAGCTGCCCCACATAATCTGTCAGGCAAAGAATGGGGTTGGGGCAGGCTCCGTGAGCTCCATTTTAACCATACAAGTGCCATATGTAGCTCACAAGGTGCGATCCAGGTCTCCTTTCTCTAGATAATCCAGTTACAATTCCTTATGAAGAGCCAAGCCCCATCAAATCCACTTGGCCCAAATTCCCAGAGCCCAATTCACCTTGTATCTTGTGCAGTCAACGTGGGTGTGGAACTGTAGCCGATCAAGAATGGTAACATTTTATATTCTCTTTTTCTCGTTTTAGTGACTGTGTATGTTCCAGGTCAACCAACTAGGGCCGCAAGCTTCAGTGGACACTTGGCTTCTACAAGGCGTTAAATGTTTAGCCATGTGACTGTTGGCTTGAGTTTTGCCTTTGTAAAAGCCAAAGAATTGTTGAGGTTTAGTTGGACTAATCCTCAAGCAGAGGGACTTCAGAAGAAAAAATGATCTGTAACCGTTATCTGGTCTATTTTCTTTGTGCCAAGGTGTTGAAATTAACATACAGTACAGTTAATCCAAGAGCATATAGACATTGCAGTTTACTCTTCTAGGGAACCACACACTTAAAAAACTGGGATTGCTGGTTTGTGTTCTTGGGGGGGAGTGTCTGTCCAAAGTGTGAAAAATCTGCATTTTTTTTTAAAGAAAAATATCATCTAGTGATTCGGGAGGGAGTTCTATTATTTTATTTGGCAGGAGGGCAGGGGAAAGTCTTTAAAATGTTTTGAACTTCTACCATGACACATTTACAAACTATAATGTGTATTCAGCAGGGTTTTTTGGTACTAGACATCTAATTTTGTTACACTTCATATTAATGTTCTATTTATAAATCATTTATAAAGGGTTACTGTATGATGAAGTGAGGTTTTATTAAACAGTTAGAGTCCAAAAGGTGAATAGATTGTGTATAACAATCTGTATTGCCTTCTAGTGACCTGCTTGTAACCAGCAATAATATATACCACTCTTGTCTGTAACATGTTTATTACTCCTTTATTAATCCTTCATAAACCATTTGTAAATAGAACCTTAGACTTCTCAATTGTGGGTGTTCAACACACAATTTCAAACTTGTTGGGAGAAAAGTAACACCAGATCGAGTCCATAAAATACTTTTTGAAAGTTCAAAACAAATATTTCCAATTATTACCATCAGCATCATGGTTAGTTGATTGGAAAAAAAGAATTTTTGGCCCAACTTTTTAATAACATTGTCATGCTCTCAAGTAAATTATATTTCTTAATTTTGTATCCAGCACACGTGATAGAATTTACAGTAGACACAAGAAATAGTGTGATGACCACATAGCATGCATTTTATGTAACAAGGGAGTATTTAATCTTACAAAAACAATTAATGAAGACTTTGGAGGGATGAGACTGATGATTGGTTGATGGCATCTGCAACAGGACTGTAATGTAAATATGGCTTAATCTAATTAACAACAATGAAATGGAACCACACATGGCAAAATTGGAAAAGTGGTTGCCTGACGGTATGGAATCTTTCCATTAATTAGTCAACATTATGGAATGGCTAGAACTGAAAACTGAGCCCAGGAGTGGACAGAAGAAGCTGATGTGTGGCGTGGGCTACGTCTAGACTGCAAGCCTCTTTTGAAAGAGAGCATCTATACTGCAACCACTTCTCACCCACTTTTTCAAAAGAGAGCACCCAGGCAGTCTGGATGCTCTCTTTCGAAAAAGTCCTGTTTGCATTCAATAACACCTTTTTTCAGAAAAAAAAGTGTTATTCCTCGTAAAATGAGGTTTACCGCAGTCAAAAAAAAGCTGTGTTCTTTCAATTTAATGTCAAAAGAACACAGTGGCAGTCTAGATGCAGGGGTGGTTTTTTGAAAAAAGGCCACTTTAAAAAACAAAAAACAAAAACCCTGTAGTCTAGACACACCTGACTGAACATAGCTGAATTCCTTCTCTCTCTTTTAGCATTCAGAAATGAAAGGCCAGATTTCTGCCCTAGATCTCTTTGGCAATGAGGTTACCTCACAGATCATTGCATCAAAAGGGGGCAAAACCGTACAAGTAAGATACTAGAATACTGGACAATTGATTACAGAATGCAGTCAATTAAAAAGAAAGATGATGTTCTTCTTCAGCCAGCTTATTATCAAACCATATATGCGTTTATCACATTGGGATTGGTGTGCCCAAAACCGTACAATAGGAGATGTGCTTAAAAAATAAACAGTTTTACTTGGATGCTGAAAGTTAGGAATATCTTTTAACTTTCTTTTTGAATCAGGTATTCCAGTGTTGAAGATTCTGAGTCAGTAAAAGCATATGGTTGACAATTAAGTACACACTTCAATTCCATTGACTTCCTTCATAACGAAGAGGGCTTCAGCATATGATTAATGTCAAGCACATGCTGAAGAGCCATGTTGAATTGCGAGAGACTCAGTGTGTTACAAAGTGTATTGCATAGTGTATATTTTTGTATTTCATTTCACAAAAAATGTTGTCTTTTTTTCAGATTTTCTACATTAATTTTATTTATTATTTAATGAAACCTGTGTTGTAGGTTGGGAAGAGAATCAAAACCTCCCAGATTAAATCAAATCTTTAATATCAACACAAATGGTTTTACTGAAGGGTTAGTAATTTCTTCTTTAAAACAAAACTCTTGTATTGATGATAACTTTTAAATAAATGGTCTTTCAAGCCAAACCTGTTTACTTCTCATCTTTCTAGGGTGCAGCTTTTTTTCACTGTGTTTGCTACTTACTAAATCTATTGGAGCCTGATTCTCATTTACACTAAAGATGCTTTACATCACGTCAGCAGTGCAAAGAGCCTCAAAGGATACGATTAATTTTTTTTTTTAATTTGAGGCCATGATATTTATCCAAAGTAAATATTTGACTGTTCTAAAACCCCTCTGAGGATGAGGCCTATTAAAATATTTGTAAACCATAAAGAGAGCTTAAATTTTCCATCGTGATGAGTGTTTTCGGTTGCCCAGCTTAGAACACCTTTTTCAGAGGGTGAATGTTCAGCCCTGTGTGAAAATCCGACCTCATAAAGCATCTCAGGTTGGGTGCCCAAAAGTGAGGCACCAAAAATATTGAAAATGTTGCTCATGGTCATTATGAAGAGAGCAAGTTCTTAGCATCAGAGAGTCCCATATTACAAAGACATTCAACACAGGGTTTGCAGGGGATTTACATTGGGCGATGGAGTGGGCATAGATACGGCTGCACTAGACTGTGTTACAAGCGATAGGATATTGTATGTGTTCTGTGTTTGATGGTTTCTTGATGATTCTCTCCACTGTAGGTGAGCGCCCCTTCCATTGTAACCAGTGCGGCGCTTCTTTTACGCAGAAGGGGAACCTGCTGAGGCACATCAAGTTGCACTCTGGGGAAAAACCGTTCAAATGTCCCTTCTGCAGCTATGCCTGCCGGAGAAGGGACGCCCTCACAGGACACCTCAGGACACACTCTGGTGAGCCTTCAATGTCTCCTCTTCCCTGTTGTTTTCTTCCTTAGCACTGTTAACCCCAAGTAGGTTATGAAATTGCAACCATGTTTCCTGATGAATTAGTTCTGGGCTGCTAGACGCATCCGAGTCCTAAACTCTGGGAACCCAAAATCCAAATCAGAATTGGGCAAATCAGACCTACCCCTTATGCAAATGAGATGGATGCTAAATTTCCCTTTGTGCATCTCGACGGGTGCATCCTGCCTTTTGGCACTAGACTGTGTCGACACCTTGAGCGCTGAGCATCTGTAAAATCCCAAAGGTTGGTCAGAACAAAGTAGTTCATCTAAAAATGTATTTTACTATTTGCGTCACATTCCGTTGGCTCCTAGTAATTTCCGTTGATTGGTAAGGTTTATAGACACTAATTACTGGTAGGGTTCAGGCATGCCTTTAAGCCATAATGCCTCCTAGATCATAGGAAAGATGTGGCAAGTGCACTCCTATTGAAGAGAATTCATCGTGTGCTCCTTAATTGCTGAATGAACACAGATAGATAATTGGACGATATGACAATTGTTCTTACCTTTGTAGCATTGCACTTGTTTAAAGTGTTGATTCTTGGTACACACAAGAAAATATTTATGAAGTCTCGTGCGGTGAATTTCTCACATTCTTCTGACCATAACCGCTTGAAATATGGCAAGAAGACAAAAAATATGATTTTTTTTTTAAGAAATAACAGAAATAACCTACCTTATAAAAACACACGCAGTGTGGTTTCAGGTGATTTTCATAAAAGGCCTTTAGATATTGTTACCTAGAGATGAGTTGGTTCATGTTTCCTGTGTGAAAATATCAGGTGCATAGTGCCCTTTTCTCACGAGGCTGAAATATTGCTTGCTCCGCAGAGAGATTTTTCAGAAGCTCCCTTGTCACTTAGACGTATGAGTCCCATTGGAAGCCTCTGGATGTTGCACTCCTCAATGATTTGCTTGCCAGTTCTGCCTTTTTAGTTTTGAACCTCCGCTTCATTTTGAAGGAGTGTCATCTATGTAAGAGAGGTTTTGTGTTTGTTTGTTTACTGACTCCCCTCACTACACCAGATGGGCACCAAGAACAGCCACACTGAGCCAGACCAAATGTTGTCTAGTCCGATATCCTGTCTTCCAACAATGGCCAATATCAGGTGTTCCCGAGAGAATGAACAGAACGGGGAATCATCACATCACCCCTCCACGGTCCCCATTCTCAGCTTCTGAAAAATGATATTTTAATAGACTGATCACAAGAGTCTAGTTAAAGACTCTAGAAGATCTAACAGAAGTCTGGTAGACTAGAATCTTTGCCTCTTCTCTCTTCCTTAGTCATAAAACTAGATACATCAGAGATGAAACCTAAAGATAAGAGAATTAAGACAATGGTGAATATGGTCGACAGTGAAAGCCCTACACACTGATCTAGATTAGGTGGGGTTGGTTTGAATCCACATTGCTCCACTTGAATTGAGAGAGCTATGTTGATTTGCACCACTGAAGATCTGGTCCATTATTTCAACGTGTGAAGTTCTTTTTCCCTTAAAATGAATTTTAACAATTAAAAGGACACTATCAAATTAAACATCGCGTTTTTCTCTGAAATATTATTTACGTGTTGCTCGTTGAAAGAAGCACCAACACGTGCTGTAGGAGAGAGAGTTTAATTTTTTTTAAACACCCAGTTTTTCAGTTGAATGTGTGTTTTTTGGCGGCGCTTAGTGTTTTATGACACCACTTAGTCAGTTTCATTGTTTCCCCTGTGTAGTCTTAGTCAGTTTTCCCCTCTTCCGTGTGTGGGTCTTTCACACAACAAGAGAGGAAAGGAACACATTTTAAAAAATAGGAAAATGTGATTGTAAACTGATAGAAATTAGCATGTCAGAGGCAGCTAATGTACCTAGAACTTCTTTTAATTTTTTTAAAACACTGAATAGCTTTTGAATTCATGTCTTTTATTGGATCCACATCTGTTGGTGAAAAAGATGTATTTACAAGTTGTATACAGCTCTTCTTTGGGTCCTGGAAAGCTACTGCGAGCATCAGATCTAAATGCATTTAGCTGTGATGCTTGTCTGTTTCTTGCCAAGAGACTTTGGTCCAATAAAAGAGATTAGAAAGACAAAATAAGTAAAGTAATGTCCTGGGACTGATACAACTATACCTACACGGATTTTGAGTTGACAATCCCCCCTCCCCCGACATTTTTTTGGTATTTCTATTTTCTTTGTACTTAGTTTCTTCATCCATGGATCTCAAAATCTATATTGTACCACTTTTATTCACTAGTGCTATACAATGCAATTAGCCCTAAAATGAAGGTACTACTCAATGCACTGGTACCACTAAATATGTGTAGTACTGTCATAAACTAGCCTTAGGTACTGAAGGGTTTGATCCTACAAGTATTTACTCCTGTGTTTGTTTATTTTTTTTACTGATATTTGCAGTTCTAGTGAGCCACCGTGTATTGATTTTTCTCCGATCTGTAGGGCCTTTGGTTTTGGGAAGGTTTTGATATAGTACGTGATCATGTGATGAGCAACTTTATCATAAGGCATATGCGTAAGTGGACTGAATTAAGGTTACACAGCCTTTTTACTACCATTTTCCTAACATCTGAGTGCCTTGACTTTGGAGCCTCAATAATCTTTTTTAATGTAGGCTTTTTTTTGTGTTTCAGCTGTAGCAAAAAAGTCTATGTTAAAAAGAACATTTTATATATATTCTTTGTAATATATATATAGCACAAAAATTACTGCTGTACATTTCAAGTATGCTTCCAAGGTATTTTTTTTCCAGGTTTTAAAATATTTTTTATTGTGGGCATTTGTAAAAAATGTTTGTTTTTTTTCCCCTCCCCTATTGTGCTTGAATGCTGGCTTGTTGTTTATAGAGCTGTTCAATAGCACTGAACTAATGGGATCCTTTTCATTGGAGAGAGGAAGCCAGTGAAGCATTTATTAGAAAAAGAGGAGCACAGGAAAAAAAATTGCCTGATCTGTGCAAAATACATAGAGTGTCTAAGAAATTGGGGGATCACTAGCCATGAAAATATCCATTTACAGAAGGGCAGGTTTCTTACTTTGCTTTACGCATCTTGACTTGCAAGTCTCATTTTTTTAGGGGCTTCATTGCAAACCCCTTACTCAGTTGATTAATATTCTCCATGCTGGTAATTTTTCTGAAACCAATAGGTCTATGTCCATGAGTTAGCATTCTTCAGGGAGGAGCAAGGGTTTGCCTGTTCCAAACCTTCATGACGCCTCAGTCTGCAGGAATTGGCATGCGTTTTCAGTGGAGTGGAGACAGTCAAACTTTGATTAGGGGCATGTGTGGCCTGGGAGCTAGGAAGAATCCTAACCCTGTTTGAGGGAATGACTCAGTCTGAGCTTGGAAACATCACCTCACTTGCTCCTGTCTCAGTCAGTGCAGCTGGAATAGTGGAAGAACAAGCACGGCACTGAAAACCAGATCAGCTAGAAGTTAGGCATCTAACAAGAGTGGGCGGATGAAGGCTTGTGGCCTGCAGTGTGCAGAGGGTCTGATTTAGATGAACATGAAGGTCCCTTCCAACCTTAAAGTCCAAGTCTGTGGTGCTATTGTCACGGTGGGAGCTTTGCTTTAAGCTGGACTTGCAGGCATTGAGTACATGCTGGACAGAAGAGAAGTTACAGAGGAGCTGAGAGCTAATCCTATGGAAAAGAAACGGAATATCCGATAGACATGCAAGGGCTGGTTTGTAAAGCCCAGCTCCCCCAAGTTAAAAACCACATCTTCCTCTCATTTCTTTTAGTGGACGTTAGCTGCCTATGTACTGCTGAGCTGCTTCCACAACCAGCTACCAACACTGACTTGATAACCTATGGAGAGGTTGTTTTGTTGAGCTACTGCGCGTCGCCGTAATTACTGAGTGCTGCTTCTGTAGAATGAGGCAGTCTCTCTTTTTCTCTGCCTTTTTTATTTGTGTAGTTTCAGTTAAAGTCAGTGGAGTTAATCTCTTATTCTTAATGAAATTGTTTTATTTGGTTGTCGGTCTTTAGATTCTTGAATGTTATTCATTCATACACAGCAATGTATAGTAACCTACATTGGGATGTAGCCACAGTAATCTTCTTCAGTCAGTCCTTCGCTGTGCTGTGGAGTTAGTAAAACTTCAGGTTTCTGGTCTGCCTGGTTCCTCGTTTTAAATGTGAATTGAAAAGGTTCAAGGATTGAAAAAAAAGAGGTGGTAATTCGATCAAAGGTCCTCCATACGGTAGGCATCCCAAGGTGAATTCACCTCTGTGCACAGCTCCAAAACCAAGCTCGTCCTTCGCTTATGTCCCATGAGACTCAATTTTGAAGGTTTAAATGATGCATAAACCTCTGTGTAAGGAGTGATTTCACCCTCAGAGGACTTTTCTAGATAGCTGCTGCACTGCCAACACTTACCATGTAGAGCAAGCAGCAATTATTCACTGAGGTATAGGTCCCAAATATTGGTCATTTCTAGATTCCCAATGGCGAATTAGGCTCCTAACTCCCTTTGATTTTCAGTGGAAATTAGGAGCCTAAATAAATCTGAGAATCGGGGCCTTTGAGCCTTTTCTCTTAAGTGACTGTATGGGCCGGGATGCTGTCCCCACCCAAAGTGGTACAAGATGGAGCCTTCACCCACCCAGCCCCCCAAAAAGATCATCCCAGTTTTATTGTATAACTTGTTCTGAAGGAAATACAGTTCGTCCCCAAACGACCAGTCTGTTTTATTTGGCGAATCGTGTTGTGTGTGTTTTTTTTTTTTTTTTTTTTTTAAAGCAAAACCTTCTGCAGCTTTCAGGGAATCTTGAAGAAGTTATGAAACAATCGCCAGCTGTTAAACCCAGAAGATCTGTTGCTGACAGATAAGACAGACAAATAGGAGAAGTGCTTTGGCAGCGAGAGCTGTGGACAGGGCTTACCAAACTCTCGCTTTCCGATAGAGATGAGGGTTGATGTTAAGAAATGAAA